CAACTTTGATCTATTAACTGGAAAAGCCAAAAACATCTCACTGCTGTCTTACATTGTACCTTCATCTGAATAAGAAGCATGTTTATATCATTTTCAAGCAAGACAGTACAGTACCTCCTTTATAGCTCTTTCAAAATCTAATTTTTAGATTTATATTCTCTGCTTTGCCATGTTTATTTGATGCAATGTCTTATTTGACATGATAAATTACAAGGATATAATATATATGTGTTCAAACATAAAGTGCCATTTTCTCCCAAGTTAAGTGGTTTTTTGAAATGGTTTTTAATTTCAAAATAGCACCTGTTAGCCCTGTAGTTCTTATTTATTTAAAGCCTTAAACAAGAATCAGAATGATGGTTTCATTAAAAAAAAATTTTTTTTAAAGTGAACCTCAGCTGTTATTTCTTGAACTGCAAGTGAACTGGAGGGGGAAAGAAAACTTTTTCCCCCTAACATGAGCTTGGTTTGAATCAAACCAAAACTATAACAACTTCAGTCACAGCTAAACTCAAATCAGAATTAAACAAATTGCTAGGGCTCTTTCTTCTTCACTTATTTTTGGAGTTCTGTGATAAACTGAAGAGTATAGAACTATATTCTGTGTAGAACTCAACTTTTAAAAAATTTTCTGCATTCTAGAGTACTTTGTAATTCTTCTAATGACTGGCATCAGAGTAGAAGAGAGATTAGACCACACAGAAAGCAAAGTAATTGAATCAGACCCAAGTTACAAAGGTATTTAGGGTCATCTCTTCTTTCTTCTCAAATCTCCAGTAAGCATTTCTATTCTTGTTCTAGTCAGCAAAATCTTAATGGTGGTCCATCGGGACTGCCAGTTTAAAAAGGGGTAGGGGGCAACACAAGTTCTATGCATATTGCAGGTAGACCTGAGCAGACACTTAATCATATATTGAATTTTAAAGTCAAAGTTACCTTGTAAATAGGAGACTCAGATGCATTTTGACTCAGACTTTTTACATGTCTAGAATACTGGATTTTAATATTCTGAAATTTTTCTTTTTTCTAAAATCTTTAAGTACAGGCAAATGTGCTGAGAATTCTCATATAACCTAAAAAATCTTTCACAACTGCTGGGCTTAAGTATAAGATGAAGCTTAATAAAACCCTTGATTACTTCCCTTTCTGGCATCTAGGACATGTACAACACAGTGGGATACACCAAGAAGTCCATTATTTTAAAAATACTGTTTCTCTTTTAAAGAAGTGGATATGTAAGCTGGATATTTTACAACCATGAAAAACCACAGTGTTTTGTTTTTGTTTCCATGTTCAACTAGTAACTTTATATTTCTTCCTTTGGTCCTATTTTCCTTTTTCTTTTTTTCCACTTTTATAAAATGTACTGCCTTAGAAATAGGTGGGTAATAAATCAAGAATTTTTCAGCTTATCTGACAAATATCATGTACCTTGTAAATTCCATTTTCCCAAACTGAGGCATTTCAAGTTTGCTTCAAATTCTCCTAAAAATAAGAGAATGGTTAAGTGGATGGAAAAGACTGTCACCTTTCTGTTTCCTCTTGCTAAAACTTTCAGAGGTGGGGACAGTTACTGTCATTGATCATGCTACTTACATCATATCCCTAGTCATCCACACTTTAAAGCAATGTTCTCAACAGGGGACATTTGGCAATGTCTGGAGGTGTTTTTGGTTGTCACAGCTGTGGAGTTCTACAGCATTTAGTGAACAGACAACCAGTGATTCTGCTAGACATCTTGTAGTGCACAAAGCCCCCCACAACAAAGTATTATTCAACCCAAAATGTCAGTATAGCCAAGGTTGAAAATCCTGCTTTATGGTGGTCTGAGGATTGTAGAAGGAAAATGCAGCTGGCATGAACATCTTAGAAATGAACTTTACAACCAATAAATGAAGCCAATATACTTTCTCAAGTGACAGTGGCTCTCTGAAAAGTGTATATTTATGTATGTTATAGCAATAATTACATTGGAATAGATTCAAAATCATTTATTATACTGAATTATCTTTGAAAAGCAGAAGCTCTTTATTAATTGTGCCATGACCCTTTTGCAACTTAGTGAAAGACCAAATTAGTGTTTTTAAATGGATAGAATAAAATGTGTAGGATTACAAAAGAAACCAGCAATTTACTTTTTAAAACTAAAAGCTGTGATACAGTAGTTGGCTTTTTATTAAAGCATTAAATTATTATTCATTAGTATGTCTAATAATCATAATTTTGACATATCATAAAAAAGTCAGCAACAATTATGATGTAATAAAAAAAAAACCCTGTGATTTCTATTGGTGCCATAGGTCTTAATACTGCCATGATTTTTCTTTTGACTAAATTTAAAGAAAATGCCAAATTTAAATTAGGGGTAGATAAAAATAATGATAGAATTTTTATTTCCCGCCCAGATTCACGTACTCCAGGTTCAGAACCACTTTGTAAATGACTTTCTCAAAATCAGATCAGCAAAAGGCTTTTCCTCTTGGCTTGAGAAGATCTTTGTTATGATAAATTGTGCTGTTATTTTATTATCCATAAAGGTATTATCCATCTTCTCTAGAGGTGATTTTTGAGCACTAAAATATTAAATACATTATCTGAAAATATAAAATGTTTCCTGATGTTACATATCACTTTTGAAAATCATTACTTAACATATCCAGTACCCCTCAAGTGAATTTATAAGTTAATCACTAGATTCTTTTGAAAATTCTTTAAACATAATAGATATAGTATAAAACTATGTTTTCTCCTGAAATTTTCTTTATGTTTGTCGATCTGGTTACAACATAGGTGGTAGTAGCTGTAGTAAGCAAATAAACTACCATATGAGATACCAATCCCAACAATTATTTTAAATTTGCAAAAATTATTCTCAGTCTACCAAGGATATAATAAATCATTCAGATATAATCTTGTTTTATTAAAAAACAAGTCAGTTTGGTGAGGTTTTGATTATAGTAGATGAGAGTAGGTAAAATGAGGGCCAAAGCAAAAGATTGCCATACCAGACTAATCTGTATCCAAAAACAAAAAGTTGAGAATTACTGCCTTGAAAAGTATATATTTTTTTCTTTAAGCCTCTTTAATCTTCTTTATCAACAGGTAGTTTTCCAAGTAAGCATTTTCATCCTTAGTCCCTGATTAAGGTCTGTATTTCACTCCTCAGCCTATGCTGTGTGAATCAATGAGTGCCCATTTAATAAGTTAGCTTTATGATCTAACCCTGAAAACATTTTAATGCTAACTTTTTAAATAATTCTATATAAGTAGCATCTACTTAGGAAAGATTAGAAAAAATTTGATTCCCGGTGTATAGCACAGTAGCATCTTAGTGAGCATTAGACTGATCATTTGTTAGTTTTGTGTAACAAAAATTCTGTATTTGCAGTACCCAAGAACTTACCGTCATGTTTTAACAATATAAAATTCTCTCAAGAGTAGTATCTGATGAAGAGTATTGCCTCTGTGGTTGGAATATTTGACTTCAGATTATTTTCCTTGTATTAAGATTTGGTTTCTCATCTTTAAAATTGACATTATAGTTCCTACTTCTTATGTTTGAGAGTGTGAGATTTCAAATGATGTGTTGCATATACAGTGTAGCCTACAAGTAAGGTAAATATTAAAATGTTTACAATGATGATGATTATTGCTTAAAAGTACATGTTTATATAGATATATTAAAACATAAAAATTCAATTTTTAATTCAATTTTTTTTTATTTTTGTATTCACTTTAATAACCACTATATTTTTAAATAGGTTGAAAATTATCATTCACTTTATAAATTAATTTGCCTTGAGTTTCTTCTCTAATGAATTAAATGATTAAATTTGTCAACATTGAATTACCATGATTTTCAGGGATACACCTATAATTTGGAAAGGGATTCATCCATGATGTGTTAATTTCTAGATTATAATTTATGATTATATAATCTATGATGTATAATTTCTAGATTATACCTTTGTGGATATCAGGATGCTCTTCTTAAAAATAAATGTTCTATAAAGAAGCACTAACTGTCTTGTGGCTGCTTTCAAAATTTTTCCCCCTCCAATTGTGAGCAAAATGACCATTTCTTAAGGTGTTAAAGTTCTGCTTTTAGTCAGGATCTTGATAATATCCCAAAAAGCAGTTAGAATGCTGCTTATCTGTCAACTAGTAAACTGGCCAATTGTTCTTAAACTGTTTGATTGAATATAATAATGTTTAGGATTGGGGATTTTAAATAAAAGTTCTTATGGATCATGTTTTATGATTTTACTTTTATATGTGTGGGTGTACGAGTATATATATGGATAATTTAATTGTACAGAGTACTAGACCATGGTTAAACTCTTCAATCTGGTATATTTTGGATTCTGATGTAGATTGCTTCTTTTTGCTTTTTTAGTAGTCATTCTAATTTTTTCTATTTTGTTTTAATTCTTTCCAAAATGAATTGTTCATCTTCCAATTTCATCCACTCTTCTCAAATTTGTGAAGTTTGAATTAGTGACAAATTATATATGCTTATGCATTTAAGTAATTTATAAAGACGGATCCTGTTCCAGGCTGTCTTTGGCTAATTTTTATTATTGTTTTCTATGAAGAATTCCTTCATTCATCAACAAATACTTATTAAACTCCTGTTAAGGTCAGGTACTGTTCTGGGCACGGGGGATACAGCAATGAACTTTGTCCTGGGTTGAGTTTATATTCTGGTCCCAATGATTGTTTACCACTCTGATAATGAGTTTGCTAATGCTGAAAATGTAACTTTTTCTTATCAGCAAATATGATTTTATAAAATAACTGTGAAGCATTCTAATAAGATGATTCTACTATTGTAGAATAGATGAGTTTCCATTCCTACTCAGTAAATAAGACAGTAGTATATTGGGAAATGACAAATATTTAACCTGTGGTTTTTATTATTTTCAAATCTGCCCTTTCTTGTTCTTAACAGTTTATTTTAATCAAAGTCTAATCTTATATCTCTAACTTTTCTTTTCCAGAAACTGGCAGACCTTTCTCTTCGTATCCAACAAATTGAAACAACTCTCAATATTCTGGATGCAAAGGTTTATATTTTTTAATAAGTTTAAACTTTGCTGTACATAAACCATCTTTCTCAGTCATACTTTAATTGCATTGGAGAATGAATTCAATGTAACTCCTACACCTATGAAGTGGTACAGTGTTGTTTTTAAAAATATATTATAATTACAAAGGAAATGGTATTCATTATTAACCATTAGCTGAGTCTATTCAAATGCACAAAAAAACACACATGGATTGAGATTTCTTTCATTATACTAGCCAAAAGCATGTGAGTAACGTTAACAAATTGAGCTGGAGATACTAATGTGAGTAACGTTAACAAATTGAGCTGTTATATAGTTCATTTGATGAAAAACTCAAACTTATTTTAACAGTTATTTGATAACACAGTAATAATTATATAAAACTTTAAATGTCTCCAGAGCAAAATTTAGAAAATATCAGCAGTTCTCTATTTACAGATATCTTAAATGCTAATGAAGAATACCAATTCTTAGTCATAAATTATGAGAGAGAACAAAAAGTAGAAGGCTGTTTTGATTTGAAATCTTAAAGATTTTGTTAAATTTATACTTGTGTTGACATTTAAAAAAAAATTTTGGATAAATAACAATAACATATTTAGTTTTAACTTGGTTTCATTTTTAACATATTGTTCATGTGTTTTTTGTATTTATGAAGTAATGGAGACACTAGTATATTTTTGTGTCTTTGTCCTTTTAACAAAATAAAGTAATCTAAAAAATACTTACTGAATATTTATGAGGAAGAAAAAAATCACACTAGTATCTCCAGAATAAGGACCATAATGTCTAGTTTTTACTTTCTACATCTCCTTATGGAATTCAGTAACTATGAGGGGTCTTCAAAAATTTCATGGAAATATGTATTACATTTTAATTCTATTTTTCCACGAACTTTTTGAAGTACCATTCAATAAGTACCATTGTATGCTTCTGTTAGAACATTTCTCTGACTTGGAAATTTAGGATACCTGGCCTTGAACATGTTCAAGATATTGTCATCAGTCAACAGTTTTCAATGAGTATTGCTGCTTGAGATCTTATTAACACTGGTTTTTTTCATTATTCTTTATTATAGTACGTGTGTTAGTTTAACGTTTGGGGAATTCTCATTGAGTTAGAATCCAAGGCCACAAGTTAAGTTACCGTATGGACAAGTTAACCTTAGTTATATGGCCATAGAAACAATCTCCAAAATTAGCCAAATGTATGACAAATGTGTATCATTGCTATCTGGATAAAATAAAGAAGGTTTGCGCGGATCTCGCAAATCTCACCTGAAATGCTTAACTATTTCAGGTTAAGATGCTTTACCATTTCAAGTTGAAATGCTAACATTATGCTCATTTTTTTGTGTATGAGGAACACATTTTAACAGCATTCAGTGATAAATGTTTAAAGGGAAAAATTAATGAGTTATGTCACATATTAATGCAAAGAGAAGAATTTTGCCATATCCCAGAAAATTCAAACCTAAAATGTGCTACAAAACACTTTTTTTTTACAAAGTATTTTTAATAGAAATACTTTTACAACAACTTTGTAAAGTAAGTTTTTTTATCACCACTTTACAGGTGAGAATATTAAGGTATAAGGTGGTTTACACAAGGTCACATAGCTTGTCGAGTGATAGAGCTAGGACTTAAACCTAGGCAATCTGACTTCAAATCCCATTCTAATAAGATGATTCTACTATTGTAGAATAGATGAGTTTCCATTCCTACTCAGTAAATAAGACAGTAGTATATTGGGAAATGACAAATATTTAACCTGTGGTTTTTATTATTTTCAAATCTGCCCTTTCTTGTTCTTAACAGTTTATTTTAATCAAAGTCTAATCTTATATCTCTAACTTTTCTTTTCCAGAAACTGGCAGACCTTTCTCTTCGTATCCAACAAATTGAAACAACTCTCAATATTCTGGATGCAAAGGTTTATATTTTTTAATAAGTTTAAACTTTGCTGTACATAAACCATCTTTCTCAGTCATACTTTAATTGCATTGGAGAATGAATTCAATGTAACTCCTACACCTATGAAGTGGTACAGTGTTGTTTTTAAAAATATATTATAATTACAAAGGAAATGGTATTCATTATTAACCATTAGCTGAGTCTATTCAAATGCACAAAAAAACACACATGGATTGAGATTTCTTTCATTATACTAGCCAAAAGCATGTGAGTAACGTTAACAAATTGAGCTGTTATATAGTTCATTTGATGAAAAACTCAAACTTATTTTAACAGTTATTTGATAACACAGTAATAATTATATAAAACTTTAAATGTCTCCAGAGCAAAATTTAGAAAATATCAGCAGTTCTCTATTTACAGATATCTTAAATGCTAATGAAGAATACCAATTCTAAGTCATAAATTATGAGAGAGAACAAAAAGTAGAAGGCTGTTTTGATTTGAAATCTTAAAGATTTTGTTAAATTTATACTTGTGTTGACATTTAAAAAAAA